GATTTCATAAAGTCTCTTGATAAAGGCATCCCCAGCTTTCTCCTTGATCAACTTAACAGGCCTCACCTGTAGACAGATATTTTTAAGCGCTGTCTTCATCCATTGGTTCCATTTGACTTCCAGATTCAAGCTAGAAGCTGTCAATTTATCTCTCCTTGACACACATCAAGAATTTTACACATATCAGATCCAAATAAAATTTCAATATCTTCGGGAAAAGATTCTGTGAGATGAGGAAGTTTTCATGTTTTGGGGTTTGGTGGGGTTTTTTGGGTGGAGTAATATAGCTTGTTATCATTTATGTATATCAAATAATTAATAAGATGTTTTGCATGCAGTTTAATTTGGAATTTGTATTTAATTCAATTTAGGAGATATAATACTACATTTTAAGGAACCATAATGGGTTTAAACTGTGTTCCTAAAAAACGCTACATTTTATATCCCTTGTTCTTGAAATTACCATGGTGGTAGTGATGCTTAAGAAAAGTTTTCCTTGTAGATATCAAATACCCTGGCATTATCACTATACTTGGGTCTATTTTATTTATTTGCAGTACATGAATATTGATGAGCACATGACTGCATTAAAGGCTTTGGGATAATGATTCACGGCAGTAGAGATGTTAACCACACTTAAGGAGCTTTATTCACTACTGATAATGAGCTGTCCTTCATACCCCTGAAACTTTTAGGCATACAGTTTTTGCTCTTCAGCTAACATATTTCTTGTAAATATGGACAGACTTTCTAAAAAATAAAAGCAATGAGAGCTTTGTTTGAAGTACAAAAATACATTTATTGGTCTATAGTTAGAGGGCCACTGATGATCCCATCTTTTTGATATGTGCTGCCTTCTGTTAAGAAAGGTAGGATCAGTCTCGTGTCTGAAAGCAAACTGGCAAAATGCCTCACCAGAGCTAATGTGAAGCATTTGAGCCAGCAAATATAGCTCTTATTCAACCTACTGCTTCCCAGTTTTGCAAAAAAATGCAATTTGAATTATGACCCTTTTCATGTAACTGTTCTATTGCTCAGTCAGTCAACAAGTATTTATTAGTACTTACTACTACATGCCAGGGACTGTGTTAAGTTCATTATATTAAACTCTTTTTGGTTTGGTCCAACATACTTTTTCAGTGTATTAGATTTCTTATAACCATATAATGAACCAGACATTTTCCACATTTTCTTTTTTTGGGGGTTTTCTCTCTTTCCTCTGATTTCTTTGCTTCTCAAGCACCTGAAGTAAAGTTTTTGATTGATGTTCAATTATTTATTTAGTTCTTTGCTCTGCTTTGACTCCTTGTATTGCCTTAGCTTTGAATTTTTTCAATGGCTAATTAAGGGAATCTAGCGTTTCTGATAAACTTTTTGTTTTCCAAATTCTGTTTTACATGATTCTTTTTTGTTGCCTTATTTGGGTAATATGGCATCCAAGTTTTCTACTACAGTAGCAACTAGATATTAATGTTAATTTTTTACTCTTTCCAAAGATCTCCAAAAGTTCTCTCAAGTTTCTTCTGCCCTAAAGGTATTTGAGACATAGTGGGGGGGGGGGAGGTTATCCCTCAATAGCTCCAACTTTCCTGTTATGTTTCTGACCATAACAATGACCACTGCATACAACGCTGCATGCAGATCCTAGAATGTTTTTATTCTTTCTGTTAAATATTGCAGAATACATTCATTCAGGATACTTGAAACAAATGCAGCTTTTCTGGAATTACTCTGTTTGGTATCATTCATCTATTAGTTGGATTCATGCCATAAAACTCAAAAAGGACTTTTCAACATGTCAGTCTAAGTATCTCATTTTCAAACTCATTTGAGAAATTAGAGTTTTTTCTAATCTATTTCATTTCTAGATAAAGTTAGACTTTTCTGATGTGTCAGAGATAACTCAAGAGACAGGATAACATCTATTCACAGAGTCCTCAACACACTGTGAAAACTAATCATTTGTTTTAAATATTTGGCTTTCATTAAAATCACTGGTTTTCCCAAGTAAATGAAAATGTGTTTGGATTTCTACAGTTTCATATTTACTCTAGGGACCCCAGGTCAGTTTTTCTGAATTGACAGTTAAAATGGCACAGAGCCTTTCTTAAGTCACTAAATTATTATTGTTCAAAAAAGAAATATATACCAACTCCTGATTCATGAATTAGGAAACTGTTCTTCCCTGCCCTTTGGTCACAGACCAAAGAACGGATAATCTGAGAGCTGCAAAGGACTTCAGTCACTTGTACATGAAAGGAATCCACTGACCAGTGGTCCTCTAGCCTCTGGGAAAATCCCCAAGAAGGCTTCAAGGAGCCCTGTCCCCACCTCACCAGGCAGCCCCTGCTAGTTTTGGATAATCTGAATTGTTAAGAGGTTTCCCCTGACATTAAACTTAAATTGTCCTCTTCAGATCTTCTACCTTTTGCTTCATGTTCTACCCTTCAGGGCCAAAGAGAACTAGTCTAGGCTCCCTTCTCCATGGTGGCCTTTCAACACAGCTACTTTGGGCCTCTGAGTCTAGTCTGTTTTGGTGGGAGCTGTGTTCAAACATTTGATGTCATAACATTTCAAAGCATTATTTAATATTTCCAAATATTAATTAATACCATGAAAGAACTATTTCTGCACCTAATTTATTAGAAAACAAAATAGGAAGGAGTAGAAAATTATTGTACCTTCCCCAGAACAATGTATATGGGCCATAAAATTTTTTTAAAAATCACCAGCCCACCACCCCCATATAATCAATCAGTGTATTCCCAATAACTCCAGCAGAATGTAAGTTCTTTGAAAGCAGAGACTTTTCATTTTTCCTTGTATCCCCAGCACTTGGTACCGTGCCATGCCTGTAGTAAGCTCTGAATCAATGTAAACTGAAGTGAATTGAACTCAATAATAAATATAAAGTCTCGAATCTTATTCTCATAGGATTTGGCTTAAGGAAGGAATAACATACACAGTAGGGTATGGAAATCTATCTTACTCTACAGGAAAATAAGGGGGAAGGGGACAAGAGAGCAGGGGATTGATAGAGGGGAGGGCAGATTGGGGGAGGGGATAATCAAAAGCAAACACTTCTGAGGATGGACAGGGTCAAAAGAGAGAATAGAATAAATGGGGGGAGGACAGGATGAAGGGAAATATACTTAGTTTTTCACAACAGGACTACTATGGAAGTGTTTTGCATGACTACACATCTATAACCTGTACTGAGATGCTTGCCTTTTCAATGAGGGTGGGTGGGGAGGGAGGAAGGGAGAAAATTTGTAACCCAAAGTTTTAAAAACACATGTTAAAAATAAAAAAAATTAAAAATTAAAAAAAAATATAAAGTCCCCCACAAAAATACAGGAAGCATACCAGGAAGCAGTAAAATGCAGCGGAAAGGGTTCTGGAGATCTGAGTTCAAATCCCAAGTCCTACTCCTGCTTATCTGTGTGACATTCTACAAATTGATTTATATGTCTGAGCCACATTTTCCTCAGCTATATAACACTACTTACACTGCCTACCTCATTACAAAAATGTGACCTATTGTGCTTATAAAAGAATATATACCTCTTTTGAATTTATTTTTATCACACCTTTTCACACTTAATTATAATGTTGCCTTTTTTAGCTGTTTCATGTATATCTTCGTCCACAACTAATAAATTATACGTTCTCTGAGGGTAGTAACTTTCTCCCTTACATCACCTATTATTGTGAGCTTGACACTGAATAAAAATAATACCTCATATGTATACAGTGCATTAAGGTTTACAATGCACCTTTCTCACAAAGACGCTGTGCAATGGGTAGTGAAGGTGTTATCATTCTCATTTTTAGAAATGAAGAAACTGATGTTCAAACTTGAAGTGACTCACTCAGGGTCCCAGAGCCAGTAAGCAATGGAGCCCAGGCTGCCTGATTCTAAATCCCATATTCTTTTCACTATATCAAACTGTGTCTCATGAACACAGCAAGCATTGAACTGGAACTTTTGAAATGGTGGTTTTAAAGCAAATTTCTGCAAATCACACTTTCCAACAAACACACATTATAAAATTGGATATGAATTTAAATAGGAGTATTTCTGGCTCTGTGACTAAATAAAAATCCTATTTAAGAATGGAATAAAAGATTTGATAGAATAACTATTTAATGGAATGATTTCCCAATAAAACAAATATTCCTTGTCAAAATAAGTCAAGATACAGAAACAATAAATAAAAGTAGCAAAAACTTGGTGTAAGACTGAGCATCTTATGAGTTTTTTCCAATGTCTTTTCATATAATTTGACAGAAATGCAGATTTATGTTGAGAAGGTATAAGAACCATCTCCACTGTTTTTCAACACTACTTAAGCCAAAAAAAAAAAAAAAAAAAAAGCATAACCTGCACGACATGTAGTGCAAGATATGATTGGTTAGATTTATTACTATTAAATCTGGTAGTTTCTCATTATAATAAAGTTAGTTACAGGTTCCATATTGCTAGACTACTGTTACTAGCTGTGGCAGGATTCAGTGGTTGAAAAGATTTCCCTAAGACTCCTCTATAAAACCTTAACTTTATAGATCCATCAGTTATTGGCCATATGCTTTTCTAATTACCAATTCATTTAACTATGAATTTTAAACTAGGGCTGTACATATGTGTGTACGTAAACACACGCATATATGTGTGTTTATAATATATCTCACTGTGTATAAATATAAAAAATTAACAAGAGTATCTATAAGAAAAATATGTATGCCCCTACACTCATCCTTGAAAAAGCCTGACTTTTTCCTTTTACATTTTGTGATTTCTCCATGTCTTGGCCCTTCCAAATAATATGAGATCATTTCCTGAATTTATCATTCCCACAGAGTGGCTTTCTTGCAAAGGGAGTACACTTGTTTATTCATTTAAATTATCAGATTAGATCTTAAGCCCATACTTAGTGACATTTTAAGATGAAGTTAAGGTCCATTCAAGATATCACCTTTCAAAACACTATAATTCTTACCAATAAGATTGAGAGAAGAATTATCTGCTTTCTCAAATGCAACTTGACTATTTCCAACAACCAGACCGACTTCAATCTGCAGGAAGATGGACAAATAATTATAGTCTAACATTGTGCAACTGGTGGCTGGACTGCCTTGCTTAAGACAAAGTACCAGATAAAAATAAGATGGGGGGGTGGTTACATAAAGTAAATGACTAAAAAACAGTGACTTAGTTATATATCTCATAATCAGCTTCTATCCTTTATTCTTGGTGTCATATCTTTTGAAGTAATATAAAACAGACTGCTGTCCTTAATTTTTTTTTAATGTTATTTATGTTCTGGGAAGACTAAAACAAATACTCAGGTTTAATAGCATATTTATCTATACCAAAAAAAGTATGTCTGAAAATTGAGAAGCACTGGCTACAAAGATCAACTCTTCCTCTCACTGTGCTTGACATGGGAAAGAATGGCCATGTAAGACAGAACTTAGGAAAGTTAATTTTTAACATTTACATTCAAATCATTTTATTTATAGTTGAACTATTTGATGTGATCCATACCTTCTGTCTTTTCCCTGTAGCAGGTTCTCCCTTCAGGATGCTGGGATCCATGGCCTCAATATCCTTCACTAACAAACCAAAAAGCTTCTCATTGAAGCTAAACACAAGCTTTGTAGGAAAGAGAAAAGGGAGAAAAGTAAGAGCGTAGCAATACCTTTCTCCATATCAGCCTCCACCCTCCACAATGCAAATTTGTCCCAGAGGTCAATTCAACAACTAGTCACCAGCTTTATTACTTTTCTATGCTACTTACAAACAACAGAACAAATATTTCAAACAAAAGAATGGTGGCTGAACAACACTGAAGAAAACTCATACATATTTATATCTTTCATCCCAGACTCCCCAACACTCCAAGAGAAGGATAAATTCTAGGAATGATGGTGAATGGGAAGATACTTCTTCTATCTTATTTTCCTAGGAGACATCTCCTTTCCACAGATTTAAATAAACCAGCAATTACAATTTCTTGTCTTCAAGGTTATGATTAAGGTGTCAACTCCCAAGCAAACAGCAAAATGTGTGGCCACAGGAACAGAGTGATGTCCAAATCACTCATCTGACAGTTATTTTGACAGTAAAAGTCACAAAAAAGGTTAAAATGAAAAAGTGCTCCTCTGGAAAAATCCCCAAAGAAGCAAAAGGCAGAAGAACGTTCTGAAGCAGCAGTTTCTACCAAACAAGACAGCAACAGAGATGACCATATGCTCCAGATTGGTGAAATGAAATATGTCATTTCCAGGAATAGGTCTAAGTGACATTGGAGAATACTGGATGGATGAGGACAGTGAAATGAAACTTGGCAGAAAGGGTATTTTTTACATCCAGAACAATGGAGCCAGTTAAAGGACACGATTTCTGATATTGTTGTTATAGTAAGAAAACCATGAAATCCGACCAGATGAGTGAAACTGTAGTGTTTTAATTGTTTTAATTAGTCTTTTTATCAGTTTGGCTTTTGTATTCTAAACTATTTGTTTTCTAAGCTATTCTTTATTTGAATTTCAAAATAACTTGTAAAAGAGACCTAATTAAAAGAGATAATCAAAGAAACATTTTGCAAAAAGTTAACATAGAAAATGAAGTAATATCAAAAATTTTTACAGCAAATTTCTTTGATAAAGGCCTCATTTCTCAAATATATACTGAGTACAAAACTGAGTCAATTTTATAAAAATAAGAGCCATTCCCCAAGTGATAAATGGTCAAAGGATAAAAACAGGCAGTTTTCAGAAGAAGAAATCAAAACTATCTACAATCATATAAAAAAATGCTCTAAATAACTAGCGATCAGAGAAAGGCAAATTAAAACAACTCTGAGGCACAACTATCAGAAATGACAAATGCTGGAGGGGATTAGGGAAAAATATGTACACTAATGAAGTGTGTAATGAGTGAAGTATAAACTGGTCCAACCATTCTGGAGAATAGTTTGGAATTATGCCCAAAGGGCTATAAAACTGTGCATATACCAGCAACACCACTACTGGGTCTGTATCTCAAAGAGATCAAGGAAAAAGGAAAAGGACCTATTTGTACAAAATATTTATAGCAGATCTTTTTGTGGTGCAAAGAATTGGAAATCAAGGGAATGTTCATCAATTGAGAAATGGCTGAACAAGTTGTGACATATGATTGTGATGGAGAACTAACGTGCTGTGGGAAATGACGAAGGGGGTAGTTTCAGAAAAACATGGCAGGACCTATATGAACTGATACAACATGAAGTGAGAAGAACCAAGAGATCATTGTGCCCAATAACAGAAATGTTGTAATGATGATCAGCTGTGAAAGACTTGGCTACTTTGATCAATAAATAATCCAAGATAATTCCAAAGGGACTTAATGATTAAAAAATGCTATCCACCTTCAGAGAGAACTGATGAACTCTGAGTAAAAACTGAAATACAATTTTCTCACTTTGTTTTTCTTGATTTTTTTGAAATACGATTAATATGGAAATATGTTTTGCATGATTTCGCATGTATAACTGACACCATATTGCTTGCCTTCTTAGTACATGGGGGAAGAGGTGGGAAAGAGACAGAATTTGGAACTCAAAATAAAAAAATGCTGAAAATAGATAATAAAAATTTAAAACTATTTTTTAAAAAACAAGTTGTAATATGAACAATTTTTATTGAGTGAGGTTAACTGTCTCTACTTTATTAAGAAGGAATGCTTTGCATCCACCAGCTGGTGTCCATCAAAATGTGTCCTTTGATAGCACTTAATGGTCTTTACTTGGCTAGCAATGCTAAAAGTAAATGCAACAAGATTCATCAGACAACTCTAGCACACATCTGTCAGTGAGTGGTGCTGGTCTGGAATACTACTCCCTAGCATCCAGCACTGTGCTCTTCCTTTCTGAAGTCAACTCCTAAATAACAATGATAATAATAAATGATGAAATAACTGTCATTTGTATGGGGCTTTATGATTTGCAAAGTACTTTAGATACTTTTTCTCAAGGCCACAAAGGGCAATCTTGACTATGCGGATGACTGGGTCCAAGAAAACAAAAACAGTATGCAATATACATAACAAAAACACAAACACACATTCACAAAAACATGTATACTCATAGATGCCTATACGCACATATGTATACATATATGTATATATGTATATACTTATGTTTAAGTCTTTATTCATACAGCCAACACTATATAAAACACATCAACATTTTGTAAATACCAAATTTTACCAGCATGCAAATATTTTCCTCCTATGAGGTCTACAGTCAAGAAAATTTAATTTGCTAATTATAACAACTGAAGTTCACAAAAGGGAGACTCTAGCAAATGACATTCTAAAGGAAGTCTCTTAGGTAAACTAGAGTAGGTACCCTACACATGGTATCTCAAGGTAAAGAAGGAAATAAAATGGGCATATGGTGTATGAAATAGGATAAAGTGCCTCTACATTTTAGGAAAGGGAAAAGGCTATCCATGATAAAGTAAGGAGAGAAAACACTTAACATCCCTATATACCTATCTTCTGATCTTTCTTCCATTCTCACTTTCTCAGACCTGTTATGTCCATTAGTCCCAATGAAATAAAATGAATTATCTAATATAATTAGATTAAGATCAGAAATTAGGTTATCAGTGAAGTGATGGGGATAAAGAGAAATAAACAAACACCTGCTGTCCCACTGAGAAAGCTTGATTGTTGAACTGTTGGATAAATTCCGCTGCCATCTTGTCAGTGTCATAAGGATTGGAATCAATGCTTTTTTTCTGTAGGAAATCAATCTCGATGGTCATTGTACCAATACACTGCTTGGTCTTGTCAAATGAATATAAGGAAACTAGAAAAAAACAAGAGACATTTTATTATAGTGACACCAAAGACAACATACTTCAAGTAACTAAAAAATAGGCACATCATATGCACATCACAATGGAAATCTCAATTATCTACTCCAAATTATCAATGATAATAAAGGGGAACAGAGATAATATAAAGTTCCACCAGGAGATTCCTTTCCTAGATATTAGAGATCACAAATTTAATGCATAGGTTTCCCTCCATTTCTTAACCCAACTCTAGTAAAGAGATCTCAGCTCAAACAACACTGTCTCTGCCCTCACTCTTATACTTCAAAATAGCATGAGTCAAAGAGTACTGTAACAGGGCAGGCTGTTTTCCCTGCAAAGGCAAGGAGAAATGACGAAATAAATGTTTGGCAAGATCTTTTGCCCAAAGAAACTAGTCCACAAACCAAAAAGGCTACTGTTCTAAAAGGAAATTCTTTCACTAAGGAATGTGAACTGGATTTAAAGCTCTGTCCATCACTTAAAAATATTTACTGAGCATATTCAACATGCTTGGTATATCATATGAGTTACTGTAGAGTTATTCTCCTCCTTCACCAAAAAAAAAAAAAAAAAATCATGTTTTTTGCCCTTAAGGGTAGAGATAAAATAACAACAGTACATATAAAGCTGCATTTAAAACAATTCCCCACCCAAGTCACATCCTAGAACTCTAAGCTGATTCTGGTGCTAATTAGTATTTATTCCATTTTGCAATTAAGTTATCATAATATGATTCCAGAAATCCAAAAATTATCACAGTAAATATTTTTTAAACCAAAATTGTTCTAGGGTTATAACTTGTTTTCCTATCATTTGCAATAAAAAAGATTACTAAGTCACTACAATGATTTCCTAAAAGATACATAAACTACATCAAATGTATCACACCAATTCTCATGCTTCAATTACCTGATACCTAGCCTCTGATGACTACCAATGTTTTGTTTTGTTTTTTAAACCTCCAGGACTGACCTGTGCCCTAAGGTCCAATCCATCCACCTTTCGGATATTTCTATTTGAATGTCCAACTGATACCTCCAATTTAGCAAGCTTCAAACTAAACATCAATTTAGTTCTTAAACCTGCCCCTCTTCCTAATTTTCATTGATGGCATTTCCATTCTTCCAATCACCTAGGCTTGACAGCTTTGAATTACTCTTGGCTTTTCCTTCTCTCTCATCGCCCATTTACACATGGATGCCAAGCCTATTAATTATACCTCTGCAACAGTCCTATTTATCCTCCTCTTTCCATTTCCATTGTCACCATCCTGGTTCAGGACTTACCCTGTTCATGTAAACTATCACTGATGCCTGATTAATTTTTCCCCACTCCAATTTATCATTTGCAATCACTACCAAAATAATTTTTCTAATGCACAGGTCTGGTCATATCACTCTCCTATTCAAAAAACCTTCAGGAGTGCTATACTACCTAACAAATAAAATACAAGCTGGCAGTCAATCTGAATTTGTAGCCTAATTTCACAGTATTTCTTCTCACATACTTTGTACTCCAGTCAGGTTGCCTACTGTTTCCCAATCTCATCCTGAACCTTTTGTAGGTTCATTCCTGGAATAGATTTTTCCTATAACTCTGCTTGTTGAAACCTTTCTTTCCCTTTGTTTCAGAGTCCAGGACAGCCATAACCTTCACCAGGAGACCTTCCTTTCCTTCTTCCCCTCCAATGAATTTGTCCTGACACTTTGACCTGTCCTTGGCACTTGAAATATTCTAATTTATTTTAGCTAGGTACATGTCCCATTCTTCCTACTGGATTGTAAGTTTTTCTACAGCAGGAGTTTTTAACCTGAGGTTTGATATATTTTATAACTATATTTCAACATAACTGGTTTTCTTTGTAATTCTACGTAATTCATACATTTAAAAACCTTATTCTGAGAAAAACTCCATTGTCTTGAGAGACTGACAAAGGAGTCCATGACAGAAGAAAAGTTAGGAAGCCTTACTCTAGCATAGGGCCTAGAACAGATTCTCCCCAGTGCCTAACAGCACACTTCACATAATAGGCACTTAATAAATGTTTTTTGTTATTTTAAGATCTTTAATATACTGCTGCTTAAAAATACATTTGTTCATTTAGCAGACATTAAACACCTACTACTTATGTAAAAAGCATTATGCTAGGCATCAGGCATACAAGATAAAACATGGCACAGCCTCTGCCCTCAAGCAGCTTACATTTTACAGGGATTGAGGGGGAGGAAGGAGAGAGAATATGACTGTACATAGGAAGTAAAAGTACAAGGCAGGGTATGATGGGTGCGAGGCAGGGAATCAGACAATTTGACAGAAAAATTTGAGGAGTGAGAGAACACTTTCAGCCAGTGGTGGGGCATAGGGTCATCAGGAAAGGCTACATGCAGGAGGTAACATCTCAGTTGAGCTTTAAAGGAAAAGAAGGATTTTACATATCTACTGAGCTTCTAGTTAATTAATTCCATTTTTTACTTAAAACAAACTATGTTGGTGATTTATTCACTTAGTTAATAAATTATTATTCAGATATTCTCGTCCTATAAATCAAAACAAAAGTGTCTGCTAATTCATGACAACAGCATTTACATACAATAGGCATTTAGAATTGCACACTACAAAGGCAAATAGCAAAGAATCAGCAAGCAGAAATGAGACATCAAATTAGACATTTCAATTTTAACTAAGTTCCCAAATTCAAACTAAGACATCAAGCTTTGAAGCACTATTAATAATTAAGAACAATGTTCTAGCCCCTTTGATCTAAAAATTACAGTCCTCTACCAACACCAAGCAATTATCAAGAATAAAACAAGGTTAGTAAAAGAGAATTAATGAGAACTAAATGGCAAATGACTGTCAGAATGACACAAAACAAGAACCAAAAAAGATTCTCGATACAAAATTAATTTGATTAGCACACATTACTTTTTAACAAAGTGTTAATTTTTAATAACACATTAGCATTTACGATCTTGCTTTAAAAAAAAAGTTGGAAAAACTTATATATTAAGTTATTCTTCCTAAATATGACATAGTAATTTTATGAGAGTTACTTTGAAGGACATTTTCCCATCTTTCTAAGAGGAAATAATGGAAAGAGCATTAAAGCTGGAGTTGTGGTAAGAGCCAAACTGGCCCCAACCTCTCTCTCCAGCCTTAGTGAAGATTACTTTCCCTCTTGTGCCCTTCTATCCAGCCAAACTGGCCTTCTCTCTGTTCCTCATACAACACTCAATCTCCCACCTCCAGGCCTCTGCACATGCTTGGAATGCACTCTCTCTACCTCTACTTCACATTCTCTTCCTTTGAGATTCCACTCAAGCACCATTTTGCGCATGAAATCTTTCCTGATCACCTAACTCTTGGTGCCCTTTCTCCCAAACTACTTTATATTTAACTCTTTTGTATGTATTTGCATTTATTCACTTTTTATTTATACTGTATATATTTATGTATGTCCTTATTTTCTCCCATGTTAGAATGAAAGCTCCGTAGGAGTAGGAATTATTTCAGGCTTTGTACTTGTATCCATAGCACTCAGCACAGTACTCAGCCCTAATCAGACACTAAAAATCAAGGTTTGAATGTCATTGACTGATTGTTACAATCCATCTTACTCCACGCAAAGCTCTTCTTGTTTCTCTAGACTCACTCATTCTTTTCTTCCTTCACTGCACTCAATCTGCCAAATATCCCTCCTAGATCATCTATAATCACAAATCTGTTGAATCAAGATCTGTTTTGCAATTTCAGCACTTAAGAGTTTAGGTTATTTGTTTCTTTTAAAATACATGTATACTGCCATCAGGTTTAAGTAGTGTGACACTACTATCAGAGGAAACTAGCAAAATACATTTTCACTGGACTTCAAGATAGTAGCTCTCTGCTCAAACAATAACCCAGATTTATGGAATCTGATTTTTAGAACTGGAAGGGGACCTATAGGCCTAATCCAATATGCACATTTTACAGATGAGGATACCAAGGAGGTTAAATGGTTTATCTAATGTCACAGAGCAAATTAGTGACAAAACTAGGTCTAGAACCCAGGTGTCCTGGCAATAGGATCAGAGTTGAACTGGAAAGGACCTTAAACATCCTCTATTTAGTACAGCCCCTCATTTTGCAGATTCACTTTAACAAACATTTATTATAAACAGATGTGGAAACTAACACCCTAAAGAAATTAAGTGATTTTTCCCGAGGTCACACAATTTAAGTAGAAGTCCTCTCTACATTATACCTACCATATACCTTCCCCTCTAGGAATTTCCATATGTCTTTATAACCCCCCCCAAAAATCTTTACTAAAAGTTAAACTTTTCCTGTGCTTTTAAGTATTTAAATTTGTGTGTGTGTGTGTATATATATATATATATATATATATAAATAATATTTAAAAATGACACATGAATCTTTTCTTAGTAATTACTATTAATATTTGTGTTTTTTTCTTTTATCTCCATACTTGCCTTCATAAGACCACCTCAGATCTTCTCGCCTTTCACTGACATTAAATCTCCCTATTCTAAGGAACTTGACACTGTTTCCACTACTATTCTATCTGAAGGAAGTATGACTACAGGAAACCTTTATGCAAAACATTCTTCCATCAACTTATTCCTAATGTACCTCCCCAGCAAATTTTAGTTCAACCCCTGTCCTCCTTCTACAAGAAAAATACATGTGATCCAGTAGGCAAGAAAACTTTTTAAAATGTTTTATTCTGAACTTAAAACACCAAATAAAAATGTTTATTCTACATATGAAGTAGAAAAGAAAAAGGTTTACATGAAACAGTGCATCTCCACTATGTGCAGCTTGCTTTTTCTTTCAAATGTAGAAAGAATTCCACAAGTAACTTATAAAGCTGTCCTGCTCATCTATATTTTCTGTTTGTCTATACTTCCTGTTCATCTATACTGCCTGTTGGCCTCCCTTCTATCATCTCCTACACATTCTTTACAATGTTTCAATGCCTCTCTCTTCTCTCTGTCTCCATCTCTCTCTCATTTTGGCAACTTCATCCCCTTCTCTGACCACTTCTCCCTGCAAATTGAAGGAGAAAAGGAAAAACCAAACCATTCTAATAAATATGCCTAGTCAAGCAAAACAAATTCCCACTTTAGTCATGTTTGAAAATGTGTCTCTTTCTATACCTTGAATCCATCACTGCTCTTATACAAGTTTTATCATCAGTCCTCTGAATTCATGGCTGATGACTGTACCAATCAGAGCTAAGTCTTTAGAGTTGTTTTTCTTTTATAGGTTGTTGTTATCCAATTAGCTCTAAATCTCTATGATTACTTAGTCTTCTCCAAATCAGAGGTTGTTGTATAATTTTACTCTTTAAGAAAAAAACAAAATGTTAAACTGTAGGCCAATGTTTGAAAAACTCAAAAATATAAATTGCTCTGGAAAGGACTCTCTTTTTAACAATAAATTCTAGGAAAACTGTACAGTAGTTTGTCAGAAACTAGGTTTATACCTTCATAATAAGTGATCTAAATATAAAAGTTAACATCATTTAAAAAACTAGAAGAAAATAAGAACAGGCACTTCTCACAAGTATAACTAGAAGGAAAATTCTTAACTATCCTTAAAAAGACTACAGAATATCATAAAAGATAAATTATATTGTTCTGATTACATAAAATTAAGATGCTTTTATACAGATAACATCAATGAAGGAAGAATTAGAAGGGAAACTTTAGAATAGGAAAATATATTTGTATGAAATATCACCAATAAAAGTCTATCCAGTGTGGCAGAGTGGATAAAGAGCTTGCTTTGGAAGCAGGAAGCTCTGAGTTTATTACTAGATGTGTTACTCTGAACAAATTATTCAACCTTAGTCTTCAAGGCCACTATCTAAGACTATAAGCTTCAGAGAAAATTGCAGACTTGCATTGGTAGGAGTCTCCTCTTCTGGAAGCTCCATATGCTAATGAAATCACAGATCAATCCAGTTCTTATCCCTATTCTATCCAAAATATAGAGATCTAACACAAATATATAACATTGAGCTATTTCTCTCAAATTGGTCAGATCAAATACGCATTTATTAAGTGCCTACTATGTGCCAGGTGCTAGAGATACACACACACACACACACACACACACACACACTCTAAAAATACAACAGTCCTAGCTCTCAAGGAGCTTACATTCTTTTAAAGAATATAGTTTCCAAAAAACCCACCACATGCAAACATGCTCCAATTCACTAATTGTAAGAGAAATACAAATTAAAACAACCTTGGGGTTTCACTTTACACAATACACATTGGCAATTAGGACAAAAAATGGACAGTTCAAAGTTGAAGGGGCTGTGGAAAAACAAGAATGTACTGAGTTGTAAAGTAGTTCTGGATTTCAATCGAGAATTATGTAAGAAAAGTGAAAGAACTCCCTAAACCCTTTGACACTGACTCAGAGATCCCACTATTGGTCAAGTAAGTCAAAATGCAGGAACAAGATCCAATATGTACCAAAACCTTCACAGTATTTTTTGGTGGAAGAACTGGAAACAAAGTGGGTACCTATCTATTGGGGAATGACTGAAAAAAAATGTTATATGAATTTAATGGAATATTATTATATATTAAGGAGTGTGGAACATTAGGAATTCAGAGTTCAAAGATTTGCATAATGCATGCAGAGTGGAAGAAAAGCTGAACCAAGAAAACATGTACAATGACTACAACAATGAAAAGATCACTAAAAGGAAACTAAACTCTAAATAACTGAAAATAAAAATGGAGATATCAAAGAACAGATAATGAAACTTATCTCCTCACCATCCTCTTTATACAGAAGGAATATGAGTACACAATATTGTATACAATATCGGATGTAGTCACTGTATCATTTTTTTCTTAATTGTTTTTCTTTGTCACAAAAGAAGATTCAAACTGGAAAGAAAGAGGTGAAATGACTATAAGGTAAAGACAAAAGGCATCAAGAAAACCTATTTTTTTAAATACATAAAAGTTTCTTCTCAGGCCAGAACGCCTGACCTAAGTGCACAGAATGCGAATGTTAGTTATTAGCTTTTTGTTAGGTTTTCTCTAGTACAGGTTTAGAAGTTGCTCTATTAAACCATTCATCCTCCACTAAAGCCATACTACAATGCTCCATCATGAAAGTGACCCTAGTAAAAACGCTGACAGGTCCTGCCTTTATAGCTGAAAAGGAAGACTTCAGGTATGGACAGGATGGTAGGCCTATCACGGAAGGACCAGTCTAGGTAAACCAGGGGAGGCTAACCACCAGAGGGTTGATGATGATTATTTTTTCTCCCCTCATCCATAAAAAGTCTGCATCAATAGAAAGAAAATCTTTATGTTTGAAAGGGCAGATGCCTGACAAGTAACCATATCCTTGATAAGAGAATTAAACATTCTGAAGAGTAAGTTAAAAAGAAAATATATTACCTCTTTCCTTTCCTCTTAGAGTGTGCTGTAGCTAAAAATATAATACAGTTCACCCAACCCAAAACAAGTTCATACTCAACTGTTATATGTTGCCACAGGCATCTCTAGACAATGCTATTCTTCCTTTATTACTGAGCTTACACCCCTTAATTATTTAAAATCTTCTGTTTTCTTTCAAGTTCCAAATTCTCCTCCTTGATGTTCCCCTTACTACTAAGGATTTCACAGTCTATTTTACTGTGAAAACTGTGTTGTAGCTCTCCTATCTACCCTTCTCTCTCAACCTCAGATAGCCTCCTCCAAAGCCATGTTTTCATTCTTCCTAACCAACTTGGAAAAAAAAAAAGATGTTGCACTCTACCTGGGAAAGTAAAATCATCAGACTTCAATTTTTCTTCTTCAGCATTCCTCAGATCCTATATTTATCCATTTCTACAGCCAAAACACTCATCCAAGTCCTATTCAATTCATCAAACTTCTCCCCAATCTCCCCTTTAAGTGGAACTTGGAACCATTTTCTTTAGGAATCACTGTGATGAAAGCCAGATAAATGCAATGACTTCCAATTGACTCCTGAATAAAGTCCAAGTTTATAAAACCAAAGGATTTTAGAGCTAGAAGGAATGCAAAATAATCCAGTACAGTCCCTTTGCTTGAAAGATAAGGAAGCAATCACATGACTCCTTTGTCCTATACGTGTTGCAAAACCCACCCTTTTCTCCTGCTAAAATGCACTTCAGACTTTCTAATTCAACCTGGTAAACCTATTTCCTGCCCTTCAATTATATTTGTTCCTACCTCTATGCTCTTGTTTATAATTGTTTTCATTTCCTAGACTGTCCTTCTGCTATCCTTTCTACCAAGCCATATTCTTCCTTCACCTCAAAATCCTGTTTAAAGTCCACTCCTTACTGCTCCTTATGAAATGGTAAATATGATGGATTCAGGAAAACCTGGGAAGATTTACATAAAAAGAAGTGAGCAGATCAGGAAAACAATTTCTATAATATAAAGGAAAACAACTATGAAAGACTTAGAATGTTGATCAATTCCAAGACTAATCGTGACTTCAGAAGACCAATAATGAAGCATGTTTCCCACCTCTTGGCAGAGAGGTGACGGACTAGGGGTGCAAAATGCAACTTCTGTTTTCAGATATAGTCAATGTGTTGATCTGTTTTACCTGACTACACTTATTACAAAGGAAAATTTCTGTTTTGAAACTAAGGAGGGAGAGTTGGTGGGTAGTGATAGTGATTAAAAAAAAAAAATACCGTACTGAAACATTAAAAGAACACATAACAGAGAGAAGGAAGTTCAGAAGGAGACACAGAGAAGCAGGCATTTTGTTAATAGTGTTAAATTTAACATACACTTAAAAAAACTACAAATAACCTAAGTTTACAGTTTCATAGATGATCCTCTTTTCAGATCTTCTTCTTACACTGTAATGTTCAAGTTTGTTGCTGTTTAAGGTCAAAATGAAAAAAAAGAAAAACTGTAAAATCTGCTTCTCCCCATACAATACACAAAGAAAGTCTTCCCCAATTAAATTCATCTGTCTCCAACAAGATTACATTCACCCCATATTACCTCAGCACTTATTATGCATGTAATTCCAAATAGTTATATTTGTTTGCACTTTATACTTTGAAACAATTTAAAGTTTGCATATTTTCCTTGTATATATTCTGTGAACTATGTATATGAGTGCCCTGATTTCCACTCAATTATAAACTCCTAAGAGGTAGGGACTACAGACATTTCCTTTATACTCTGGACTTTTAATAGAGTTTTCATATCACAGCGAATGTCCACTCTTATTGTCTGACATACACTCAAGTAAAGAAAAATATAGATTCATTTAGTTCAATAATTTTGGGAAATCATGGAAAATAATTTTAAAAGTTAAATAACATACTTACCTTCTATCTCTTGCCCAATAGAAAGTCCAGCCCATTTTCGCTGCAGAGAGAAAAAAGAAGGAACTTCAGGAAACAACTAGTCAAAGGCAAAGAAACATGGTAAGAACTTTCTTTGTTTCAGGGAAATGTATGCATTCAACAGAAAAAGTCTGGTGTATGTGCCTTCAAAAGAAGGCAGGATGGTGTAGAAGTATAAAGCAAGCCAGGCTCTGAATAAGAAGAGCCCTTGCTCCCCACATACTGGTGATGTGATCTGAGATAATTACTTCTCTTGAACTTCCACCTTCTCCCCTATAAAGTAGGGAGAATAATAATATTTGCACTACGTATCTCACATAGTTATTGAGGATCAAACAAGATAATACCTGTAATACTTCAAGATCCTAAAGCACCATACAAATGTAAGCTATTATAGGATATAATACAGGTGTTAATCTGCCCAATGTAGCTTAGCCCATCTATTTGCAAAGGGTCAAGTAACCATGTGTTTACTACACTATGAGTTACTTGAGCAAAGAGACTGTCATTTTTCAATCTTTGTATTGCCTTACAACATTACAGGCATTTTTAAAATGTTGAGTATATTTCTCCTGTGGAGGTATCTCAATTCTCATTTAGAGACTATATATTGTTATTTACTACATGATCTTTAACAAACAAAATGACCTGGTTTCTTGGCATAAAGGAGACAAATAAGTAAATAAGAAAAGGCCTAAAGGGATATTGGAAGCTGACATACTAAAACTTGCCATTAGACAGCCTGATGGTAAGTGAAGTAGGTAGAAACACCAAAAATCAGATACAGTTGTGCTATATTTCCTTACGGGTATAAGGATTACTCAGAATCATCAAGAAAAAGGTGGATGATGGTCAATATCTCTTTCCAAAATGTTTGAATAAAAGCAGCTGTAGAACTTTTGAAGGGGAAAGCTTCAGTTATCTAAAAAAAAATTTCACTTACATAAAACAGCTGATGATGACCAATAAATGAGGTACTACCCTCATTTTTTGAGTATGTTTACTGAGTTAATGACAATAAAACAGGCATAAATGATTCTGCCTATAAGTAGTCATTATTTACGTTTAATCTCATAAAAAGGAATTCTGCTTTTATGTATCTATCTTATAAGTGATGGGATGAGTCTGACATGTAATACTTTTAAATCCACACAAACAGATTTTTCACTGGCAGTCTGAGTTCCTGAGCAATAAATTTGTTCCAAATCTGGGACTTCACAGGTATATGAAGCTCCCCAGTGAGGAAATTCTCCTATCAATGCAGATGGATAAGTGTTCTAAAAAGTAGTCTCCAGAGTTGCCTGGAAGCACTAAGAGGTTCAGTGTCCTTGTCCAAGATCACACAGCTGAAATGTGTCAGAGGCAAGACCTGAAATAGGCCTTCCTAATTCGGAAGACAGTTCTCTATCAATATTCATGCTGCTACTAGATCTCACTGACTCTGACGCCAGCTCTCTAGCCACCATACCACACTGCTTCTCTTAAGCAATGAATAAACAGCACAAACTAAATTATCCTAAGAAAAATAAATTATATCTACAAGGTGCTCTAATTTTCTTTTCAAAGAGCTCTTAATTGAATAAGCCACAGTATAATAGAAAGAACAATGGATGTAGGACTAGGGGACCTGGGCTCAAGTCTTAACTCTCCTTCTTACTCCCTCTATGATCTGGGACAGTTTCCTCATCTGCAAGACAGGGGCACCAGACTGGCTGATCTTTCAGGATCCTTCCAATTCTAAATGCTATGAAAACATTTTCACACAATTTTGGAGACAAAAATTGGCAACATGGACTATGTAATCCTTTAAGGCCTTTCTCCACATTCTAGCCAGATGGACTGGCCAGAAGGAAATGAAAGGCCAGAATGTGATTTGTAAGAAATTCAAGTCTGAGCTATAACTAATAATAACAGCCGCTGACATTTATATAGAGCCTCAAGTTTTGTAAAATGCCTTATCTCACTTGATCCTTATACATTGTGAGATGGGTATATCCCTTTCACAAATGAGAGAACTGAGGTTCAAAGAGGCTGTGATTTGCCCATGGTCACAGAGTTAGTAAGTGCCAGAAACAGGATACAAACCCAGTGCTCTGGAGTCAGAAGACCTGAGTTCAAATCCCACCTCTGACACTTGCATCCTGTATAATCTTTGGTATGTCATTTCACCTCCATAGGCTTCAATTTCCTTAACTGTAAAATGAGGGTCCCTGAGGTTCCCTTCATTCCTAGAACTATGATCATGACTATAATTGCCTAGACACCTTGTACAGTGTTCTTGATACTTTCACTCTCAATTTTAATTATTTCTGATTAAGATCCAAAGGACAATGAAAGAAGTAATTATCAGAGGGTTGGAAAACCTCAGATAGATGCTTGAGCATCACAGGTTTTTGTAATAAACTTCATTGTGTTCAAGTCCAAGCCACAATAGCTTTTCAACAAGTCAATCCTCCTAGTTACCTTTCACCTCCCCACCCAGATTCTCTTCCACTAAATCATCCTTCCGCTATACCCTCTGGTTCTCTTAAATTCCAAAAGCCAATTCATGAAAACTAATCCCAATATTAGTGTCTCACACAATGCCTTTCATTAGCATGCAGCACAACAGCAAGCTATTGAAGAAATAAGTAATTTACCACAAAGCAAGAGCCTTAAGGATGCTGTAGATCAGGTACCTAACACCCAGAAGTCCACAGGTGACTCTGAGCTGTTCCAGCCCCCCAATTTATATTCAGCAGCATTCTGTTCAGATAAATAAGTGTCCCTTTGTTTGAACAATATGTAACTAAATTAACAAATCCTTGTGGAGACAAATAAAGATTTAGAAATAGCAGTAAAATAAATTATGGATAGAAATCTTCATTTTAGATGCAATTTGAGTTTGAGACTATTTCTCTAAGTCACACTTTTATCTCTGGGACAACCTCCTCTGGTCAGATCAGAGCTAAGACTAGTCTTAGACTGACCTGATTAACACACGTATGCAGACCCTCTCCCAACCTGCTACCCCCCCTCCTCCCTCCACCCAATTCCCCAGAAGATTCAGAATAGATTAGTCGCCATATGTCTGTGAAACTCTAAAGTAGACAGGATGGAATAGAAAGGTAGTTTGAGGTCTCTCCCTACAGAATTCATGCTACACTAAAGGAATCAAGATATCTGAATAAAACGACATCTGCCAAAAATCCCCTGAACAAGCCTGGGGCTGGTCCACATCTTAGGCTTCTTTTGTCCACTTCTGTCCTCCAGGTGTCTCTCAGGTGCTGAAGTTGCCCTACTTTTTAGGACCCAAGTTAAAAGCTGGCACTAACTAGCAACCCGAAGAAGCAGTCAGTCAGTCAATTATTTATTAAAGCAGCTGCTATGTGTCACAACTGTACTATGTGCTGGAAGCAATAACTATCCATCTAACCGTAAAAATAATGTGACCATTGGTATTATTACAAGAATAGCAACATAAAGGTCAGAGTTTTAGAGTTGATGTAATAGTACATTTAGATTGCCTTTGGTTACTAGGTGTGCCCAATCAGACGTAAATTTTGGACATGTTTCTGAGCTGTCAAATTCATATACTAGAATGCTGAATTTTAAAAATCATACTGCATTACATAATTTTACAGTACAATTTTACATTATAATAGTACATTGTATTACATAATTTTAGGACATAAGGCAACTTTCCAAGAGGACTGCTGTTTTAACTTCTATTTTACCTTGGGTATTAATACTGAAACACCTTGATAAATAGCCTCCTGCTTCAACGATCTAAGTCAACTAACATAATAGCAAAATTAAAATGTAGAAAGAGAAAAGATCACAGAAATAAAAGCAAAGATACTTAGGATGGTCACAGCAAAAAATTCCTGGAAATGAAAAATGTATACCTATATTCCTTGTAACATGACACCCATGAAATTATCTTCTACTTGAATCAGAAGTTACAAGAGATATCTAGATAAAAGTAATGATCCTGCCACCATTTTCAAGAATTCTTGGAGAGATGTGAATAGCAGTGTTACCTGGGGTAAGCTGAAAGCGATACTGCCTGGAACAACCGATGAATGAGTCCTGAGTGTAAAAGTATATCTGTGATTGGGCGAGGTCCTCACAACCACATGTCTAAAGGAAAGAAATATTGACAGTATTTTATTTTAAAGGAAAATGAGGCTAGGACCCCTTCCCCTAGAATGTTCATTACTAACAAATGGATTTTATTGAGTTCCTAGAGTATACATGACATTTTACCAAACACCCAAATGCCCAAAAATAGAATGCAAAATTTTCAGTTGTTAAATCAACAATTCAGAAATTTTGGCAAGGCTACAGTGTGCATTTTAATTACTATGCTCAAGTTCATCACAAGTAACAATTTATACAGACTTCTTCTTCTCTAGGTAAATCAAATGGCCAGGGCCAGTTCTCTTTTGTCATTAAGATTAAATTAAAAAATGATAAGAATTTCCTCCCAGCTGGTTTTATGGGGAGAAAAACAATAAAATAAACTTTCGATTAATTTGTCTAAAAAAAAGAAAGAAGAAAACCAAATTACCAGTATCAGAAATGAAAACGGGGAATTCACCACCAATGAAGAAGAAATTAAAACAATAATTAGGAACTACTTTGCCCAACTATATGCCAATAAATTTAACAATCTTAGTGAAATGGATGTATATTTACAAAAATACAAATTGCCCAGATTAACAGAAGAGGAAATAAAATACTTAAATAACCCCACTTCAGAAAAAGAAATTGAACAAGCCATCAATGAACTCCCTAAGAAAAACTCTCCAGGGCCAGATGGATTTACAAGTGAATTCTATCAAACATTTAAAGAACAATTAATTCCAATATTATATAAACTATTTGGGAAAATAGATGGAGTCCTACCAAATTTTTTTTATGATACAAATGTGGTGCTGATACCTAAACCAGGAAGAGCCAAAACAGAGAAAGAAAATTATAGACCAATATTCCTAATGAATATAGATGTAAAATTTTTAAATAAAATATTATCGAAGAGATAACAGCAACTATCATAAGGATAATACACTGTGATCAGGTAGGATTAATACCAGGAATGAGGCTGGTTCAATATTAGGAAAACTATCAGTATAACTGACCATTATCAACAACAAAACTAACAAAAATAATATGATTATCTCAACATATGCAGAAAAAGCTTGTGACAACACTCATTCCTATTAAAAACACTAGAGAGCATAGGAATAAATGGAATCTTCCTTAAAATGATAAGTAGCATCTATCTAAAACCATCAGCAAGCACTATATGTAATGGGGATAAGCTAGAAGCCTTCCCAATAAGAGATGGGGTGAAACACGGATGTCCATTATCACCACTGCTATTCAATATTGTACTAGAAATGTTAGCTCTAGCATTAAAAGAAAAAGAAATTGAATGAATTAGAATAGGCAAAGAAGAAACAAAGCTATCAGTCTTTGCAGATGATATGATGTTATACTTAGAGAATCCTAGAGAATCAACTAAAAAACTACTTTAAATAATAAACAACTTCAGCAAAGTTGCAGAATATAAAATAAAGCCATATAAATCATTTGCATTTCTATATATTACTAACAAAGCCCAATAGCAAGAGATAGAAAAAGAAATTCCATTCAAAGTTACTGTAGACATCATAAAATATTTGGGACCCTACCTGCAAGACAAACCCAGGAACTATATGAACACAATTACAAAATGCTTTTCACAGAAACAAAGTCAGATCTAAATAACTGGAAAAATATCAACTGCTCATGGGTAGGTCGAGCTAATATAATAAAAATGACAATTCTACCTAAATTAATTTACTTATTCAGTGCCACACCAATCAAACTACCAAAATATCATTTTATAGAGTTAGAAAAAATAATAAAATTCATCTGGAAGAAAAAGAGGTCCAGAATATCAAGGGAATTAATGAAAAGAAATGCAAGGGAAGGTGACCTAGCCATACCCATCTTAAATTGTATTATAAAGCAGCAATCATCAAAACTACTTGGTACTTGCTAAGAAATAGTGATGGATCAGTGGAATAGATTAGGTACACAAGACAAAGTAGTCAATGACTATAGTAATCTACTGTTTGATAAACCCAAAGACTCCAGCTTTTGGGATAAGAACTCACTATTTAACAAAAACTGCTGAGAAAACTGGAAAATAGTATGGCAGAAACTAGGCACAGACAACATCTTACACTGTATACCAAGAAAAAGTCAAGATGGGTACCTGATTTAGATATAAAGGCTGATACTGTAAGCAAACTAGGAGAGCAAGAAATAGTTTACTTGCAGATTTAAGGAGAACGAAAGAATTTATGACCAAACAAGAGACAGAGAACATTATGAATGTAAAATAGATAATTTTCGTTACATTAAATTGAAAAGTTTTTGCACAAAGCCAATGCAACCAAACTTAGAAGGGAAGCACAAAAAGAATTTTTTACAGCCAGTATCTCTGATAAGGGCCTCATTTCTAAAATATGTAGAGAATTAAGTCAAATCTGTAAGAATACAAATCATTCCCCAATTGATAAATGGTCAAAGGATATGAGTAGGAAGTTTTCAGATGAAGAAATTATAGCCATCTATATAGTCACATGAAAAAATGCTCTAAATCACTACTGATTAGAGAAATGCAAATCAAAACAATTCTGAGGTACCACCTCACACCTATCAGACTGGCCAACATGACAAAACAGGGAAATGATAAACGTTGGAGAAGATGTGGGAAAATTGGAACACTAACGCACTGTTAGTGGAGATGCGAAACAATCCAATCATTGTGGAGAGTAATTTGGAACTATGCCCAAAGGGTTATAAAAATGTGCATACCCTTTGACCCACATAGCGCTTCTAGGGCTGTATCCCAAAGAGATCATACAAATGGGGAAAGGACCCACATATACAAAAATATTTACAGCAGTTCTTTTTGTGGTGGCCAAGAACTGGAAATTGAGGGGATGCCCATCAATTGAGGAATGGCTGAACAAGTTGTGCTATATGAATGTAATGGAATACTATTGTTCCATAAGAATGATGAGCAGGCAGAGCTCAGCAAAACCTGGAAAGATTTACATGAACTGATGCTGAGTGAAGTGAGCAGAACCAGGAGAACATTGTGCACAGTAACAGCAACACTGTGTGATAACTAACTTTGATAGACTTAGTTCTTCTCAGCAATGCAAGGATCTAAGACAACTCCAAAAGACTCATGATGGAAATGCAGATCAAAGCATACTATTTGCTCTCTCTTTTTTTTGTTTGTTTCTTTTTTCTTTCCTGTGATTCCTCCCATTGGTTCTAATTCTTTTTTACAATATGACTAATGTGAAAATATGTTTAATATGAATGTATATGTACAGCCTATATCAGATTGCATGCCATCTTGGGGGGGAAGGGGAAGGAGAGGGAGAAAATTTAGAATTCAAAATCTCATGGAAATAAATGTTGAAAACGAAAAATAAATGAATAAAATAAAAAAGAATAATTTTAAAAAATATTTTCCTCCCTTTTAAAAGTGCTTTTCACTGGTAGTCAGGAATCTAAATTGTAATTTTATTGTTCTTCAAATTGCATCAAATCACATGACAGACTGGCAGAACAGACAAAATTATGGTACATAAAACTGTAATGAGTTACTTCTAAGTAGATTACAGTGCACATTCATAAAAATGCCAAGTAAATCTAAGCAGTTGATTTTCAATTATCTCCTAGACCTAGAAGATCAAACAAGCAAGAAGTTAGATACAATATTATAAAGAACTTAAGTTATATTCATTTTATGAAAAGTGTTGATTTACTATTTCTTCCTGTTAGATTTCTATGATTTAGATCAACATCATTCACCACATACTACAATAAACCCAAAATGGATATGTGACTTGAATATTAAAGATCATACCATAAAAAAATTAGAAAAGAACCATGTCAGATACCTTCCACCATGATGGTTAGAGAGCAAACTCTTAACCAACAAGGGACAGAGACTATTAACCCTATCTCCCCTAAAAAATCAGAGTTCCTAATACATGAAATTGAAAAGCTTTTGTATAAATAAAATTAATGCAATTACATTAAAAAGGAAAATGATTAACTGGATAAAAAATTTCACATTTAATATTTCTTATGAGTTCGATATCCAAGATATATAGATAACTTAATAGCAATTGATAAGACCAAAAGCCTTTGCCCAACAGATAAGTGGTCAAAGGATATGAATCAACAGTTCTCAAAAGAAAATTTGTAAACTATTAACAACCATATCACTAATAAAAAGGGAAATACAAATCAAAACAATTCTGATGTTTCAGAGGGCAAAGGTGACAGAAGGTTTGTGGAAAGGAAAGCATTTAATTTGTTGGTGGAACTGCTAATTAGTCATACCATTCTGGAAAGTAATTTGGAGTTATGCAAAGAAAGTGACTAAAATATCTATACCCTCTGATCCAGAAATTTCACTGTTAGGCATATATTACCAGGAGTTCAATGACAAATAGAAATGTCCCACATACAACAAAATACTTATAGCAGACTTTTTGTAGTAGTAAAGAATTGGAAAAAAGTAAATGCCCATCAACTAGGGAATGTTTGTAAAGAGGCTGTAGTACTCGAATGAAATGTAACATTACTGTGCTGTAAGAAACTAAACTTGATGAGTACAGAGAAGCAAAGGAAAAGCTAAAAGCTAAATGAACTGATGTAGAGTGAAGCAAACAGAACCAGGAAAACACTATACACAATGGCTACAACAAATATAAATGGAAAAGAACAACAAAATAATCAAAACTGAAGGCTACAAAATTGTAATTACCAAGCATGGCTCCAGAGAAGAGATATAGGAAGGTACTTCCTTCCACAATCTTTGCAGAGGCTAAGGCCAGTTCTCTATTGTCCTTAAGGTTAAATTACACACACATTGTCTAAGATGTAGACTTTTTGGACATATTGGTTATTTTTGCTGAACTATTTTTAACTCTTTTTTTATTCTTTGCTATAAGGGATTGCTCTCTGAGAGAAAGAAAGAGGATGATAAATTGGAAAATGTAAGTAATGTAAAAACAAAGGTAACAATAAAAATTTATTTTAAAAAAGATTTCTGTGATTGTTAATTTTTTTCAATATTAATGCTTAATCACTTCAATTTTCTCCTGTTCCAGAGACTTTATTACATCTAAAGTATCTCCTTCATAAATACAGAGCACTCTGATTATCTAAAATAGCAGATTTCCTTTGGCAAATTTTGCCTTAAAATCAGAGTTTAGGACTGGAAGAGATCTTAGAAATCTAGAAACCATATAGCCCAAATATACTTTATAGCTAAAGTAATACTGGCAACATAGAATATTGCAAAAGCACCAGAGTTGGCAAGAGTCAAAATACAAAGGTTCTGTCACTAATTAGCCAATACAATCTCTGCATCTCAGTGTCTTCATTTATAAAACAAGGGATTTGGCTCAGGTGATTGCCTGAGAATTCGATGGCACAAAATTGTAAACAAGATTTGCCACAGTCTACTATACAAATGTTATGGAAATTGAAATACTTTTTTATCAAGCTAAGGAAATGTCAAATGTTCTATGTATGGAAGCCTAAAGATGATAGTAGTTTTAGAATACAAGACTTCTTAACTTTTGGCAGTGGGTGGGTAGGGGAAGCTAGACCTAACTGATAGGCTAGTAACAATTTATAATTTGTTTAAAATGTTATTTGTAAAGATCTTGCGTTTGTTGTGCACCTTCCAGCTCTCATGCTGCATAGGTAATGATACATATTGCAAAAAAACAGTCAGTTTGGTCATCATAAAGCAATCTAAAAAACTCAAATGTTTATGCCTCTACACAATGCATATTTTGCTGCTGTTCAGTCGTGTCTGACTCTTTGTGATCCCATTTGAGGTTTTCTTGGCAAAGATATTGGAGTGGTTTGCCATTTCCTTCTCCAGCTCATTTTACAGATGAGGAAACTGAGGTAAAGTGGGTTAAGTGACTTGCCCAGGGTCACACAGCTAGTAAGTATCTGAGACTGGATTTGAACTCAGGAAGATGAATCTTCCTGACACTAGGCCCAGTGCTCTATCCACTGTGCCAGCTGGCTGTCCCAGATAACACATATGCTAATGATTAATAAAATGTATAAGTTAAATCTGAAAGCACACACCTCTTGCATATCTTCTCTACTTCCCCACCTAAAGAAATGCAGGAAATAAATACATTTCCAATTTTCTCCAATCAATAGGGCAATGTCCAAAAGTTTCTAAAATGGTCCTTACAAAAGTTTTGTTTTATTCTATTTTTTAAAAAGCACTGATTACTCACTGGCCAGATTGGAAGTCCTTTTCATTCACAACTGCACAGTTGCTCAATGACAACTCGTCTGTAGGGCATCTTGCTGCTTGCATAGACTACATGAGAATAAGGGAGGAAAAAGAAGGTCATGAAAATGTCATGCTCTCTCCTAATATTATTCCTAGTCATAACAGATATAATAAGTAAATCCAAGATTTTTATCCAACATGACCCATTTATATACTAAGAGATTGTTAAATTTAATTAGCATATTCTAAGTACCAGGAACATTGTAAGGTTCTGGGAAGAGAAAATGAACAACCAAATAATTCTTGCCCTCTAGCAGCTTACAGCCTGCTGTGGGAAATGACAGTGTACACAGGTAAGCAAATGTGAAATAAATACAAAATATTTGGGGGGAACGTTAACAACTGAGAGCTCAGAAAAGGCTTTTTGTGGGAGATGGCACTTGAGCAAGGCTTTCCAAGTGGCAGACGTGAGGAGAGAACATTTCAGATAAAAGCGACGGGGTAGAAGACTGAGTACAAGGAGATTAAGCAGTACTTAGGAAATAGTTCTCCTAGAAACTGAAGAAATCAGTTTTTAAATTGCTCAACAAAAATGAATGGGAGGGTATATTAAAAATAGTGAAATCCCTTTGGGAAGCCTTTCATCAACAGACTTTTTTTTTTTAAAGTTTGTTATTGTAAAAATTTAGAGGCGACGTCAGATTTATTCTTGCAATTAATCTATAATCTGTGGAAAAGCATCTTTTCAACAACTCTCCAAGGTATGTTGACTAAAGAAGGTATGTTGACTAAACAAATATAATACTGTCGATCACAGTCTGATCAGACTATAAATAATCACATTAACTTTTTATAAAATTAAGCAACTACTGTGTGCAAGAAACTAGACAAAGGAAAAACCAATATGTTCTCTTGTCTTTACTAAATTTGTTCTTCAAATCTCAAACCAAAGTTTATTCTGTTATTCAGAAAGCAAGATTGAAAGGCAGACTAACAGAAAAGGAAACAGATCATTGCTTTTAAAAGGTTGATTAACTATGGCCATCTGTGACCACTTATATAGAACATGACATTAATAAGACCCAATTTAGAGGTTTGGTTACCAAACAAGTTATAGAATTTCAGAGCTGGAAGGGACTTTAATGGCCCTATTGTTCACCCATAACCAAAAAAAGAATCCTCTGTATAACACACCTGAGAAGTGTTCATCCAGCCTTTGTGTGAAACTTCCAATAATTGGGAACCCATTCCCTCCAAACAAGGTCCACTCTGCTTCTGAACAGCTCAAATGGCTAGGAAATTATTTTCTTATATCAAACAAGTCAATCCAGTTTTGGATAGCTCTGCTAGGATGTTTTTCTTTATATCAAGCCTAATTTTGCCTCTCTGTAACTTCTAACAGACAATCCTCTTTTTGCCTTTAAGGGCCAAGTTACCACAGGACAAACTTGTGGATAGTTGAAAATGGTTATGTCTCCAATCAGTCTTCTCCAGACTAATTATACCCAGTTTTTTCAACTAATCCTCACATGGCATGAACTCAGACCCTTTACCATGCTGGTTACCCTCCTCTGCTTACTCTCCAGCTTATTCAGGTCCCTTGTAAATGTGGCCCCCAGAAATGAACACAATATTCCAGAGGAGGTAACTCAATCATATGCCAGATATCGCACAATATGCTTAGGATACAAATACAATATAGATGGTATTTGTTCTCATTCTACTGGGGGATAGAAAACATTTGGAAGTACCTGTGAAGTACATACAAAATACTCCAAAGATTTTAGAGGAATAGATTAAGAACCTGAGAATTAGAAAGGGCCCTTTGAAGGAAGTGGCCCCTGAGCTGAGCCTTGAGAAAGCTAGAGGTTCAAAGAGGCAAAAATGAGGAGGGAGGGCATTCCAGGGATAGGGGAAAGCCAGAGCAAAGACACAGAGACAGGAGATGGTACGTCAAACATAGGAAACAGAAAGTAGGTCAGTCTAACTAAAACATAGGATACATAAGAGGGAATAATGTGTAAAAAGCCCAAAAAAGTAGGATGGAGACTGATGTTAAGAGATGCAAATGTCAAACAGAGGAGTTTGTATTTTATTCTCAATTCAAGAGGGAGTTCCTTGAGCAGGAAAGAGACATGTCAGACCTAAGTTTAGGAAGATCACTGGCAGCTGAATGAAGAATCGGCTAGAACGAAGAGAGACTGGAGGCAGGGAGACTAATCAAAAGGCAAGAGATACTGTGGCCAGAACCAGAATTGTGGTTGTTTGAGTGGAGAGAAGAGGTCATATATAAATGATGCTATAAAGACAGAAAGGACCAGATTTGGTAAATGGATTGGATGTGTGGGGAAAGTGAAAACGAGGAGTCAAAAGATAACACCAAGACTATAACACAGGGTCATGGGGAAGAAGGGGGGTGGTAACAGGAAATTCTGAAAGGGGGACAGGGTTGGGGAAAAGATAATGAGTTCTGTTTTGGACATGTTGAGTTGGAGATGCCTACAGGATATCCTGTTTGAGATTCCAGGAGGCATTTGGAGATGTGTGACTGAACTCAAGAGAGAGATTAGGAACAGATATATACATCTGGAAGTCATCTTTGTACATATAAGTGGACCTATGGAAGCTGATGAGATCACCAAGTGAGACAGGTTACAGCAAAAAGGGAAGTGGACCTTGGGGGACATTCATGGTTAGTGCGGATGGTATGGACGAAGAACCTGAAAAGGAGACTAAGAAGCAGTCAAAGAGATAGGAAAAGCAGGAAAGATAAGTGTCACAAAAAACTAGAGAAGACAACATACCCAGAAGAAGACGGACAACAGTGTCAGGTGCTGCAAAGAGGTCAAGAGGGATCAGTACTGAAAGAAGGCCATTAGATTAGCCCAGTTAAGCATTACTGGCAAGTCTGGAGAGGGGTAGTTTCATTGAATGACTAGGTCAGAAGTCAGAAAGAAGAGGTTTATAAGAGAATGAGAGAAGTGGAGGTACTGAGTACAGATTGCTTTCTTAAGCAATTTAGCTATGAAGAGGTAAGAGGAAGGGAATAGGGATGGTCAGATAAAGTGAAGATTTTTAAAGGATGGGGAAGAAAGAGGCATTTCTACAGGAAACAGGGAAAGAGAAAGTAGACAGGGAGAGGCTGAAGGTAAGAGAGAGTAGGGATGACAGTGGGAGCAATTTCCTGGAGAAGTTGACAGGAGAAAGGGCATATAGAGGGGTCTGCCTTGGCAAGGAGAAGAGCTGCCTATTTGTCTAACAGTGAAGAAGACGGTGGAAGGAGATGTGTGAGTGATATGAAATATGAAGTGGAGAAAGGGGAGTTTTCAGTGAATGGTTCTCAATTTTTTCAGTGAAGAATGAGGTATGGTCCTTGGCTGAGAAGGTAGGGCTTAGAAATGCCATGAGACTTCTAAGGAGAAATAAAAAAAGTTTGGAAAAACCACTGGAGGGTGGGATAGTAATTCAATTAGGGAGGGTTAAACGTTTGCCTTGATACAGTGAGGGCCTAGTTGAGATAAGATAACATAAAATTGTGGTGAGCCCAATAAAGACTGATGATTTTCTTAGGCTCCATTTCAGCAGCACATGAATAGGAAGGAATGATGAAGAGATAGTCTAACTCAGGTTCAAGGTTTGGCAAGGTGGGACTGAAGATAGAACAAGAGGGCAATGGATTTGAAAGTGAAGGGTAGCACAGAGTTGAGTTGGTATACCAAGATGCCGAGATGGGGAAGGGACGAGAGTATAGCCAGTGCAGAGATAATGGCCTGGGACAGAACTGAGGGATGGAGAAGATGGAGATAATAGTGAAAATGAATAGGGTTCGGGGTCATAAGGCACAGAGAAAGATGGAATGATAGAAGATTGTGATGAGATAAGAATTTCATAGTTCATGAACACGGAAGTGGGACATTTGTGAATGATGCTAGATCAAAGTTACAAACATTTCTTTGCATAATGGAAGTGGGGTGGAGGAATAGGTCTTTGGAATTGAATAGAATGAAGAACTGGGATATTAGGGCAGTTGAGAAAGGTATCAATATGTTTTGTGCCTCAGTCAAACTGAGACCTGGGAAAGACCTCAGCTTAAAAAGGCCAAGGTCTCCCACTGCATCCAGAGCCATCTCCAGTCATCTTGATCTATATTTTGCCACTGGGCCCAAAAAGTGAGGATGATGCCTTTCCACAGCCCTACCTCACTTAAACCCAATTCACTTGCAAGTCATGGTATCACCTTCCTGACATCATGGTCCTCTTGGAGAATGAAGGATAAACAACAATATGTATGTCGAACTCTCCAAATATGACGACAATAGATGGGGAGGAGAGAAAGACTGTTAGTCAGGCACTAAACTCACTGAAGGAAGGAGAATACATAACTGAAGCCTGAAGACAGGAGATAAAATGTCATATATGAGAATCAGCGAGAAGACCAGTTTGGTTGTCCATGTAATGTGTGAAAATGAGTAATATGTAATAAATCTGATCAAGAGGCAGATGGGGGAGGGGGCAGCTAGGTGGCACAGTGGATAGAGCACCAGCCCGGGAGTCAGGAGGACCTGAGTTCAAATCCAGCCTCAGACACTTAACACTTAATAGCTGTGTGACCTTGGGCAAGTCACTTAACCCCATTGCCTAGCCAAAAAAAAAAGAAAAAGAGGCAGATGGATTACAGAGTAGAGAGACTAGCTTTGGGGAAACTAATTAGCTATCCATGGTAGTAGTCCAGGTGCTACGTGATGAGGGCTTGAAGGAAGGCCTCCAATAAGCACACACTTAGCATTGAGTGAGGCTTTTTGTCTGAGGCCTTTGTCACTTTAGCATTCACACTGGTACATGAAGACCTTAGCCAGGGGAGCACTAGATATCTGCTTGAGATTCCAATTGTTCCAGGTATGTGGACTATGATGTGGGTTGAACCCTCTGCTCCTACTTTGCTGAGAAATTTGAGAATGTGTTATTTGATCTTCCTCATCTCCCATACTCCATACTTCAAATGCCTTCAACAATTTTTCCTTCTTACATAGAGATTCTAAGTAAGAGCTGGCCCTCCTCCCTGCCCAGATCCGCTACATGTTATACTA